TATCTAAAGTAAGTGAAAGGGTTTTTAGTAATGCTGAATTAATAATGTCAGCAAAAAGAATAAGTATGAAGAAGGATTTATTTGAAGCTTTGATTTTTTTGAAAAGAAATAGTAATTTAGTAAAAGGAATGTTTAATAATAATACATATACTAAAAAGTAATGTACTTATTTTATATATAACATATTAGATACGATTTTTTTGTAAATTATATATATTTTTATCAATAATAACATTTCTAATAATTTGCTATTTCACTTTTTATTACAATTAGTACACAAATTTTATTAAAATATAATAAGTATGATTTTTGATTAAATTTTATTCATTTTTAATTAATAGTAAATGTCAATAATTTATTATTTTACTTTTATTATAGGTAGCATGCAGACTACATGTATCAAATCTTTATTTTTTTAATATAAAATAGTAATCAGAAATATATTTAAAAAATCTAATTAGAGATTAATATAAATCATAAAAAGTATTAGTATTAATATTGAAATAAAAATTTAATAATAAAATCAATAGTCTACCATCTATTTTGAATTAGTTTGTCAATTATTAGTAAATTTGTATTAAAAAATAATTCAGTGCACGTATTATCAGTGAATTTCATTAAAGTTTTTTTATAATACCATCAAATGATCTAATGCTAGAAGAATCCAGAATCTACAAAAAGGTAAGAAATTTAATTTAATGAACTTTTTTATAAAAAAATAAATTAACATTAATTTTTCAATCAAAAGAATTACCTCTGAATGATTCAAGCTTAAAAATCTGATATCTAATAAAAAAAAATTTAATATTAACATTTAACATTAAAAAATTTCTTTATAAGGTTTATTTTTGAAAGATCCAAGTTTTGAAGAAAGTGGTATTTACAAAAAGGTAAGAAATTTAGTATTATAGATTTTTTTTTTAAAAATTAATATTAATTATTTTTTATTAAAGAGCTTACCTCTGAATGATCTAAATCTTGAAGAAGGCAGTATCTACAAAAGATAAGAGATTGAATTTATTGATTTTTTTTTAAAAAATATTTAATATTAATATTTAATATTAAAGTTTATTCTTTATAGGGCTTACCTCTAAACGATTCAAGGTTTGAAGAATTTGATATCTACAAAAAGGTAAGAAATTTAATTCTGTAATCTTTTTTATAAAAAAAATTAATTAAATTTTTTCCATCATAAACTTATCTCTGAAAAATCCAAATCTTAAAGAAGGCAATATCTACAAAAAGGTAAGAAATTTAGTATTATGAATTTTTTTTAAAATAAACTAATATTAATTAATTTCATTAAAGAGATTATCTCTGAATGATCCAAAGTTTGAAGAATTTAGTATCTACAAAAAAGTAAAAAATTGAATTTATTGATTTTTTTTAAAAAATATTTTAACATTAACAGTTAATATTAAAGTTTTTCCTTTATAGGGCTTACCTCCAAATGATCTAAAGCTTAAAGAATCTGATATCTACAAAAAGGTAAGAAATTTAATTGTAATTATTTTTTATAAAAAAAATAAATTAAATTTTTTCTATCATAAACTTATCTGCAAGAGATCCAAGGCTTAAAGAATCCAATATCTACAAAAAAAGTAAGGAATTTAATATTATAGAATTTTTTTTTAAAAAAAATTAATATAATTATTTCCATCAAAAGGTTTATCTTAAAGTTTGAAGAATCTGATATCTATAAAAAGGTAAAGAATTGAATTTATTGATTTTTTTTTAAAAAATATTTAATATTAACATTAAAGTTTTTCCTTTATAGGACTTATCTTTGAACAATCCAAGGCTTGGAGACGATATCTACAACAAGATACGAAATTGAATTTATTGATTTTTTTTAAAAAATATTTAACATTAATATTAAACATTAAAGTTTTCCTTTATAGAGTTTACCTCTGAATGATCTAAATCTTGAAGAAGACGGTATCTATAAAAAGGTAAGAAATTTAATTTAGTAAATTTTTTTTTAAAAAAAAATTAACATTAATAATTTTCATCATAGGTCTTACTTTCGAATGATTTAAGCTTGAAGAATCTGATATCTACAATAAGGATAAAGCATTCATTTTAGTTATCTTTTTAAAAAATAAATGTTCAAAATTACTTACTCTAATACCAACATTTACTAAAAAATTATTTTGTCTATTTTAATTTTTTAATTTATCAAATTATTTATTTGGTTTATATAAAATGACTTATGTAATTACCTAAATGACATTAAATGACATAAATGATCTTTAAATGACAATATTATTTAAATTCAAACTATACAATATTTAGTAATGATTATTATTACTTAATTTTAATAAATGATCAATATTATCCAAGAATAATTCAGATTTTTCTAGAATTATTTATTCGAATTACCCATTATTCTATTTAATAGAATAACCAGATCTCAAAATTTTCAAATAGATTATTCTATATTATCCATAGTGTAATTTAATGAAAAGTTCTATTTGCATCATTATCACTATCAATTTCATTTCTATTATTATCTTCATTTGTAACATTTGTATCATTTTCACTATCGAAATTATTATCATTACCATCATTTTTATTTATATTCTTATTTGTATTACCATTTTTTTCATTTATATTATTTTCATCTTCAATTGTATTGATTTCACTATTGAAATCATCATTAAAGTTATCTTTTTCCTATAAAAGTATGTTAATCAGTTATATTATATCACTTGATGTACAAAAAAGAAATATAAAAAAATATATACCATTCTTTCAACTTCGTTATTATGAGAATTGTCTAAAATTTTATTTAATATTTTCTAATAAGTCTGGTTTTTTTGTGATTTCATATATTCATAAAGAGATGCACAACCTGAAAAGGTCCTTTTACAATTATTATATAGACAAGTAAATAGCATATTTAGTTTTAATATTAATATTTAATATAATATACATTAATATGATAATAAGATCAGTATATTTTTTATGTATTAATATATTTATTTATTTATTAATGCTAATATTAGTTTAAAATATTTAACTCAAAACATTTTTAAACTTTACAGATAAAAAGTTAAAAAAATAAAATATATTTTTGTATTTTATTAATTATTTCTCATTATATAGTTCCTTTTCATTATAATACTCTCGCAATATCTTTAGTAAAACGATTAAGTTGCGAAAGGAATAACCAAAGTAATACTAATATTATTACTAATACTAATAGTTTTGTCAATAAATTTACAACACTTTTTTCTATTAATGAAGTATTTACCACCTCTTGAGAATCTTTAAAGGTAAAAATTAGAGGTTTGTAGCAGTATTTTATGATGGTAAATATAATGTAAATATTATAACGCATTTTTATTATATTATTATAGGACAAAAATGGAAAAAGTAAAAATTTTTTAAATAAACAAAAAGGTTCTAGCCATAAAGGTATATCAAATGTTGATATCCCTTCAAATTTACTAATTCCTTGTGTACAAATTCCTGAAGTTAACGATAATGCTGTAATTTTAAGAAAAAAGATATATCAGCGTGTTATTAAAATTTTTAACGTTTTTATTAATACTGATAGATTTTAGCAGCAAATAAAAATGTAACTTCTAAAGCATCAAATTCATCTAAGGTTGCTACTGTGATTGATCTTTCTGAAGCATTAATATCATTTAAAGCTGCTACTGTAATTGATCTTGAAATAACATAATGTACAGGTGAATTTACTATAATTCTATATTTTTTTTTGATATGTGTATATATGTTATATTATGTGAGTATTATGAAAGTGATAACAATTAAAAATATACTAGAAGGGATTAATAAAGATAAAAAGCTAAAGAAATCCAGTGATCTTCTAAAAAAGTATAAGTTTTTTGATAAATATTTCATATTTCAAGAGTAATATATTAACATTATAATTTAATTATTTAGGTTTCAAACTTGATATAAATATGTAATCTATTATTGAAAAAATATTTGAAGAACAATTAAAACAAAGTGCAATGATTGATACTTTATAAAATGAAATTTCTAAAAATTATTAACTTTTAGAGAACATTAAAAATGTTCTCTCAATATTTGTATTAGAATCATTGACTATAATGACTGAAAAATAATCAAAACAATGGTTAAAGAGAAAAAACATCAAGTATTTATAATGAAATGTAAGTATTAGTAAGATTTAACGTTATGTTTTATTGTTTTATAAATATTATAATCATTTATTTCTATTATACTATTTTAGTATTCCATAACAAAAGTATATTATAAGTTGTTTTAAGAAAATAAAAATCCATCAAATATGAATATTGAACAAGTTTTTAAAATTCAAATCCAAACTGACTATTCTCAAAAGATACAAAAACTTGTTAATTTAGATG